AGGAAATAGTATATCAACATGAAGTGGAGCATTTGCAAAGTAGAGAGGTGTTACTTGTAGTCTATCATCGAATATTAAGAGTGGGTGAGAAAAAAAAAAAAAAAAAAAAAAAAAAAGAATTCTCTTTCCAACACTGAAACATGCAGAGGCAAATTGCTTATTACAAGTTGTATGCAGCTCAGACTAACAAGAGACAGATTTAAAAATATCCCACTATACCTATTTTTAATAAAGATTTAAGGTATTTCATATTCTGATCTTTCACTTCAAATTTGAGAATTAAACAATGAGTGAATAGGATCTGCAAGACAGACAGGCATTGTTCACGTCACATTGAAAGGCATCTTTTTATGCAGCTTTGGATTCTTAAACTTAGGCTGAACGTGGTTTTTAAGTTGTCTGGAGTTTGAAATGCAAGCTGAACTTTGTCACATTACATCTATTTTCTTGTTTAACTGGAATCATAAATACACAACAAACTGCTGTCTGAGAGAGGCAACATGCAAAATTAACCCCTCCCCCCCCTTTTTTTTTTTTTCTTCTCTCTCTTGGAGAGCTCTGTTGAGCCGTGAAGACTTGTGGAAGCAGTGGTGCAATGAGGAACATTACAAAGCCATAGCTCAAGCTGGAGATACTAGAGGCTGAGCAACGCTGAGCATATTGTTCTCCAGAATACACCACTTCTTGTAACAAATAAGTTTAGTGTCAAGACAGCTGCTTGCCAACTTTCTTTAATTAAAGAGGGGTGGTGGGTGGAAAGAGCTTATGCATTATCCTTGTATTTAGCAGAAGGCTGCAAACAGGAAGAACAAAACAAAAAAAAGATGTATTTAAAATATAAGCAGTTTCAACTAGAAATGCAAGAGCCTTTTCCCCTATTAATATCTTACTAGAGTTGGCTGGAACAAAATGTGGGTTGCAGCTACAGGCTGAAGAAACAGTGTTGAGAAACAAAACAAACAGGCATTTGCTGCCCCCCTCACTCCCCTTCACCCCCACCCTCCCCCAGATAGCAAAGTACAACTGATGCTTTCTGTTAACTACGAGGCCAGGGTTAGCTAAAAACCTCATTTAGCTAAATCCACATCCATGGCTCCTCATGTTCAAAAACTTATCATGGATTAAAGCCATGAGATAAAAATAAAAAAAAATTTCAATTTGAAATTTTATTCAGCATGTTGCTAGAATGGTCAACATCRATCGACAGGAGAGACTTTGTCCACACACTCAGAGAACGCTCTCGTGCACCTCCCCCCTCTTTTCTTCCGCTCTTCCCTCTCAGCATTAATGCTACTAAAAGCCAAACAAAATACTGGCTATGGGTGTAAGGAATGCTGGTTTTTGGAATGTTGCCATGGATCCTGCTTCCAGTCGCGTCCCACGGAAAGAGGGTGCAGCCTCCTGTCCCTGTGGCAGGCTGGCCTCCCCGCGCGGGGGAGGAGGAAACGTAGCCACGGAGCCCCGCTGCCCGCTACTCTTTCCCGTCCACTATGGCCAAGTCTTGGATCACCCTCAGTTTGCCACTGGCATCGATCCTGCGCTTCTCCCGTATTAGGTCCTCCAGGCTGTGGAACCTCACCGTGTGCACCTTGTTCTCGGCCAAGTGGATCTTGAGATAGTACTGCTGCTGGGGCTGGGTGCCAGCAGCCGCCTGCAGCTCCCCCCCGGCTTTGAATTCCCGTTTCCCGAAGCGGCACCAGGCGGCGAAGCTCTCCGAGTTAGTCCAGCAGATCTCGTCGCTTTTTAAGCCCAGGTGCCCGCAGGCGTTTTGCACCACCAGCTCGGCCACCAGCGGGCGGAAGCGGTACCAGCTATTCACCACGCGGCCCACGTTGCCCGCGGGCGCCTCGTACAAGCTGTCCTGGCGGATCTGCCCCTGGTGCAGGTGGATGATTTGCCCACCGCCCACGTAGACGGCCCAGTGTGGTGGCGGGGGCTCCGACGGCCCCAGGTAGAGCAGCTCCAGCAGGTCTCCCGGCTTGCAGAGAGCAGGCAGCGCTGACACGGAGTAGACGCTGAGGTCTCCAGCCTGGGGGCCGCTGCTGACCTTGGAGAAGATGCATTCCTGGCCGTGGAAAGCGGAGAACTGGGTCTCGTTCAGCACCAGCTGGTGGTGGAGGTGGTGGGTGGGCGTCTCCTGGCCAGGGCTGCCCGAGCCCTTCACGCCGTACTTGTCTGGCTGGCCTCGCTCGTCCAGGTCCTCCTCCTCATCCGAGAAGAAGTAAGCGACCCCGACTCGCAGCTCGTCCTTCTCAATCCCCGAGGGGTCCCCGGTCGGCAGCTCGCTGTAATTCAGGTGGGTGATGCGATCCAGTTGATTTCCCATCAATGACAGGGCAAGGCGAGGGCAGCAATCGCCAGATCTGGAGGAAGGGTGGGGTGGGCAGGGAGAGAAAGAACAGGAGAGAAGAAAGAGCACAGACAGAGAGAGGAGGGAAGAAAGAGAGAGAGAGAGTGAGAGAGAGGGAAAAAAAAAAAATCAAGACACATACAAAAGAATTCAGCGATTCCGCCCTAACCCCCATTTCTTCCTCCCGTTCCGTCCCTCCCTCCCCGGTGCAAGGGAGAAACTCCCGGTGCGGGTCCCGCCCCCTGCCCCGGGGCGCTGCCCGAGCCCCGGCGGCCCCGCGGGAGCAGGCGGCGGCCCCGGCGCGGAGCTGCGCGGGCCACGGAGTTGGCGCCGGTGCCGCCGCCGCCGCGCGCGCTGCCCGCGGCCCCGAGCCCTCGGCTCGCCCCGCGCGGCCGCAGGAGGGACGGGAAGGGAAGGCGGCTGGAGCGGCGCCGGCCTCGGCGCTGCCCCCGGGGCTGCTGCTGCTGCTGCCCGGGGCGGGGTGCGGGAAGCTCCCCTAGGAAAAGGCAACGCGCATCCTGCGGGCAGGGGCGCAGCACCCGCGCTCGCCACCGAGGGGTCCCTCTCGCCGCCCGCTCCGTACCCGTGATCGCCCAGCTCCACGGAGGGAAAAAAAAAATAAAAAAGACAAAATAAAATAATTAAAAAAAAAACTCCTTCAAAGTCGCCCTGTCCCCATGGGTGCTGCAGGGCAGGGTCGAGCTCCGTCCCGCCGGTGCGCACCCCGCTACGCCGCCYGCGCAGCGCCCTCGGCTCTGCCTACGCGGCCCCGCGCGCGAGACTAAGTAGCGGCGGCGGCGGCGCCGAGCCCGCCCCGGCCGCGCTCATTGGCCGCGCGCGCCGCCCTGCGCCGGCTCCGCGGGGCTCCGCGGCCGCGCCCCCGCCCGCGCCCGCCGCCCGCTCCTGCCCGCGGGCCGGGGCGCGAGACCCCCCTCCAGGAAAAGAGTCATTTCCTAAAAAAGAAAAAAAAAAGAAGAACAACAAAAACAAAAATGGAGAAAAATGAACAGCCAAGCTTCAGCTCAAGCCCCTAAGGGTTGTTCTGTCCTTCCAAAGGGAAGAAGGGATCTGCTAACTTCAGCAACCTGAGGTCATACATGTGCAGCAGGAGCTCGAGGTCTCCCTGAAGCCCCCATGCAAGTGTTTCCTGAGGGACATCTCGCCTACTGCAGAACCTCTTYTTGGAAGGGGGGAACTGCCACAAGGAGATGCTTGTCTCTTGCCATGGCCAAGGCTGGATCCCAGACTCACAAAATCACAGTTGAGGTTGGAAGGGACCCCAAGAGATCATCTAGTCCAACCCCTCTGCTCAAGCAGGRACACCCAGAGAATGTTGCACAGTCGCATCCAGGTAGGATAATTATTTAAATATTGCACAGGACAGTACAGGGTAGTAGTAGGTACAATGGCCCCAAGAGGGATTAGGTTTCCACATTTGGATTTAGCAGCAGTCATGGGCTGTCCTCAGAAAACCATACTAGACAGCTCTACAGTTTATATTACGTAAAAGATCAGACAACTCAATCGTAACCATCCATCCTTTCGTAAAATCTATGAATCATTTCCTAGCTAATGTCAATGCATACTCTTACCCATAATTTTGCACACTCTGGATATGATTAGTTGTCTCAATTACTTGTTTTGATTACTATCCTTTTTTTGGTCATAAAAACGTAAGTATTCTTTCTTTCCATGGTTGTGGATTATGCTCATCTTTACTGCTGGCTCCCTGTTTTAAACGCTTTTCCAGATTTTGGATCTAATTAATTGAAAACAGCAATGCCTGTAAAGAACATACATCCTTAAATAAACACAGTGATTTTCATTTTCTTGTGATAYAGGTTTCATACCTAAGTGTATTTGGGTCAAATATTGAGTTTCTTAGAGATATGTTTACTTTGAAAGACCTTTTCTTCATTCAAAAATTTATATGGCTATCTTTCTAGAACAGCATTTTTTTTTCATTAATTTTTTAATATATGCAAAGGCATCAAATCTTAAGTGGAAGAGGAAAAAAAGAAGAGTATATTTATTTTTAGTTATATATCATTCTAAGACTGACCRGTTATTTTTCTGTGGGGTTATTATACTAATCTGTTGATGGTTACAGACTGTACATGTCTCGTAGGTTTGGGGACTACCGCCTCAGATTTGCAGGAATTAAGCTGAATTACAGAAGTTAAGGATGTAGCATTCAGGGGCTTGTTCAACTAGAAAATGATTTTAAAAGAAAAATGGCTTAAAAAAGGGATTCTATTCTAATATGCATTTTAAAAGTTTCATGGGACTAAGAATCACAGGTGGATGTCTGGGATTTTGTAAATCCTCTTCTAATGATTGTCAGATATTCACCCTTTTTTGGCATAACATTCATCCAGACTATATTGTGAAGACACTCTAATAGGTTTATAGTTAAGATTGTAAAACAATGTTTGAATATTTTGATCTTTTTTTTACACTTAATATGCTTAATTGATATATCTATTTAAAGGCCATTTCTGTAGGTAAATTTTGCACCAACAGCTTCTGTTTTCTAAACACTTTACATTTTTCCTGTTGAAAGTCTGTATCTTTTTAGGTTACATACACACAGTTCACACTTCCCACATTTGCCAATCATCAAGGCTATGTAGAGTAATTTTTAGACAACTCTAAACAAACAAAACATTATTTCATCTTTTCCATGCAAAAGAGCGGAGAACAGATTGTTTCACTAGACTGCATAGTGCAGAAGGAAGAGGTCTGGGTCTACGAAAGGCTCTGCACTTCTAACTAGATATTCTATCTACTCCTGAATTCTAGCCATTTCCTTCATGCCTCCCATGCTTTGACAAGTCTGCTCAATGGATCCATCCTGACTTGCTAAAAAATGCTCCAGTTATAATCTCAGGACACACCTTTCCATGACCTTAGTTCAACACACCTCCACTGTCCATTTTAGATATCCTGGCTGGGTGCTGTGTCCAAATCAGTGCTGTAGGCACTGCCTCTGTCTTTCAAGGAGCTCTTATTCCTTCAGTATCTTTCCAATCTCAATTTCAAATTAGGAAAAGCGTCAAGAAGTTTCCTAAAAAAAAAAAAAAAAAAAAAAAAAAAAAAAAAAAAAAARAACACCCTTATAAGCATAGTTACATAAAACTGTCTTTAAAAAACACTATAGAAAATCATAAAATTTATGTAAACCAACTCTAGCTCTGAGTTTTGGAACTCTCTACTGAGCCTAGAGAATGCTACAAAAGCACTACACTATACATAGAAGTGTATTGCCTTGGCCTATGGAGAGGATTGTTTTGTCTATTTTGTTTAACCTGATTATCATCTCTTTCTGGGACTTTTTATTTCTGGGAGCTCATGGAGACTTATTTATCATGGCAGTGAATGAGGACTTGGCTGCTCTTGTGGACCATGCCATTGGCAGCATAGTGTCATGCTGTTCACATTCACATTTCCCAGCTTCAGCCTCATTAATCAGAGGTCATAACCTCCCTATGCTGGGACCTGGGAATGTGCCATTAGACTATTGTTCCTAACCCTAATGGTATTTTTTTCTCAGACTAGGCACTGACAAAAAACTCTATCCTGGACTGCTCCAAAGGCACTGGGCTTATGCTCTTCTCTCTGCTTTTTTTTCCTTTTTTTTTTTTTTTTTTTTTCCCTTTTTTTGTCCTTTTTTTATCCTTGGCATTTTATCACTTGATTTTGCATTTATGAATAATTTAGTGCAGTGAAAACTCTTTTAAAATATGTAACAAAATAGATCCCCAGTAGCTTGTTTTCTAAACCTTCTCATCATCTTATGTTGAACTCAGTTTTGGAGCCATAGGCCCCTGTTGCTAAAAGTGGAGCTAAAACCTCCACTGACTTCAGTGATTGGAGAATGTTTGTACAGAAAAATATAGCAATGAATGTTTCAGTAAGCAACCAGAGAGACAACAAACTGATGATAAACATAGGAACTTGCCAATGTTTTATCGTTTTTCTCTAGACAATAGATGCCTATGCATTACAATTCTGTTAAAGCTGAATCTCAGATCTCCAGAAACTGATCGCTGTTGCATATTGTAACCTGGTCTGCCCACTGGGCCCTGGATGCAAAAGATACCATAAGGGATCTCTCTGACCTGAAATTATCTAAAGTCAAGATGTACTTGTCTGTGATTGCAAGCAGCTGCCTCTTACATACCTTCATTACCATCTCAGTGTACCTAAGGCATCAGAAACATAAGAAATTTAGGCTTTGCTCAGTTTATGAAGCAGAGATGAAGCACAACTAAGAGTACTTTGTTCTGAACATAAATACTAAAGAACTGAAACTTAGGACTTTGCTTCTTGTTGAAGAGATGCAATAAAAAACTGCTGCAAAGAAGAGTTTGAGGAGGGATGAGATGACATTACCTTCTTTTCAAGCATATATAAGAGTAGCGGGTGCCATGGGTTAGCATAATGCATAGGACTGTGTCCTCATCCTCGATGCTTGTCCTGTTGGGCTGCCACAGCCATCAGTAGCTTCAATATTGTAAATGTTGTAAGTGTATTGCTGGCTTTTTTTTTCCTCCCAATAAAGATGCGTATTTATTTGCATGTAATCATGAATAAGAGGTCTCCAAGTGGAAGCCAATACTTAAGCCCAACTGTACCCTCCTTTGGCTTCCTTAACAGTTGATATTGTGATCATGTTGTCACAGGGAGAGTTTAAATTTACAGCCCCACATCATGAGCTGGATGAAAAAACAAACTTCTTAATTAACTTTAATAAAGGTGGTTACTTTGAGTTTGCTACCCTGAAAAGAGGAAGGAGGAAGAAAGGAGGAAGATAATGGTGGTCCACAGGAGAATTCCTAAGGTGTCTGCTAGCACTAGCTGCAAAATATAAAGGACGTCATAACTTTTGCAGAGTGAAAAACATCCCCAGAAATTAATGTAGCTTCAGAAAAGAAGTCATCAGGAGAAAAAAAAATGTAGAATATTTTATGTATTTCTTATTGTCTTCTAATATAATCTTATTCTCTGGYTGTAAGGAGAAAGAGCTGCTCTCATTTAGTAAATTAACTTTTTAAGTCTATCTTTAACATTTTACAACTTCAGGCAAAGCTAACTGAATGTATCAGTTTTGTAGATTAGAAACCTTTTCAGAAATATTGAGCCGTAAGGAGTAGTTCTTCATTAAAATGAAATCTTCAATGTATTACTCTTCATTAAAGGTGTGTTCAGTCTGTCGCTAAATGACCTACTGAGAAATCCATAATAAATATGTATCTGAGGGCACAATGGTTACYTAGTACTAGGCTACTGTTTCATTTTCCAAGATCCTGGAACAGAAAAGTCAKAATATTTTCTCTAGCAAAATCTATGAAGTTTTCATGTATTTAATCTTTAAGAGTAGGAATAATGCCTATTATACTTTCTTTTTCTTTCCTCTTTTTTTTTTTCTTTTTTAGATTGACAAGCAATTGGCTATCTTATATTTGCCTGTGGGTGTTATTACATTTGTTTGATTGACCCTTTCCTATTTTACATGTGTTTTGAGATACTTTATTAAATCATTGTTCTGTAAGTATTTTGAATTATAATTCTTCTCATTTGTAATAATATGCATGTATTTCTGCTGCCCTCAAGGATTCCCCTGAAAATTAAGTGTTTCAAACA